CCCGGCCACGCATATAAAGCATACGTCTCCGATTCCAGAGTCCCTTGCAGGAAGTGGTTAATACAAGAGATGGTGTTACCAATCAGAAAAAAATATCAGACTTGGCCAGAATGTCTGCATAATTCAAAGCAAGGGGCCTAGGAAGCCCATGCCCCTGCTTTGGCTGAGCGTGGCTTGGCTTTTCATTGACGACTCCCGACCCAGTGGTTCTGATTTTTGTCTACAGCAATGATGCAAACTTTAAGGTGCATGTACTTCTGGTAATTGTCTTGCAGTGTGTCATAGGAACTGGTTTTCGTAGTGGCATAACTACTTTGTATTAGAATTTGTATTCCCACATTAAAGAACCATTGTTCATTTCATAAATATAGAACCTATCTGTGATAATTGCTATTCTTAGTTAATATATATGTGAAGTCATTCTTTAGTACATGTAGTTACCGGTAAGACTACTCTTGTAATGTTGAGTTCTCAGGATTTAATGCATGTTAAATTACTGTGTTTATTCAAAAATTCTGCGGGTCCAAACTGAAATATTTAGTGTCCGTGTGAAAATAGAAGTATGGTTATATACTGAATTACAAGTTTAGTTTATCTCAGAGAAAATGATTGATATGAAGGCTCTACACAGGCCTGGCTAGGCTTACGCAAAATTTGGGGGCCTGGGAAAATTTTGAAGGCCTACTAAAATGTGCCATTGAACTCCCAAGAATTGTCGATTTTGGAAAGCTTCATTTTAGCTGTGGCGTAGCTTACAGAAGTAGTACATTTGTGGTTTATTGTATAGCTTGGCTGCATGAAATGCAAGGCCGCAAGCTTACAAGTTAAGTAGCAAATTGGTGTTATTGTCTTGATGGAATATAACATATTGAATACCGGTGCTTATGGCCTATTCAGCTAGGACTGGTTCTACATGTACAAGCGCATGTTTAAATAAGGTCAAAACCGTGAAGGCCAATATCTAATAAATAATGGCCTTCTTAAATTTTGTCCTATTAAAGGAGCTTCAACAGATCACATACAGGTAGTAAAGATCTCCAAATAGTACAGTTGGGGATAGCGGTGATGTGTATTTTAGTGAAGAGTATACTCTCTGAGACTGTTTTCATTTGTGTAATATTTTTTAGGCTCGTGTTTTGCTTAAATAATGAAAACCTGATTGTTATGTATAATTTAATAACAAGCCGAATCGTCGATATTGCCGTGATAATTTTGGCTTTATAGGTGCAGTCCATGATTTCCCTTAGTGCATTGCCTGTATGGACCAACGTTTATACTCAAAATCTAAGGAAGAGTGGCCAAGAACATTCCCAATGACATGTAAACTCAGTGAATACTATGTATATTCCAAGAAAAACAATATTATAGGATTTCAATTTCAGATCAAAAGTTGCCCAGTCATGTTTGAATTCCTGCTTGAACTCAGCATTCAGGACATGTTTTCGTTTTTCAGTCGATGTCGTGCCCTGAACCAACCCTCGTGCACCTGTCAACGTGTGCACCCTTCTAAAGGCAGTTTTCCTCAAAATGAGTCGTCAGATGCACCCTGGGACATGGCCTTCTTCCGTCTTCTTCAAAATGACTGCTTGCCAGAGAATAATGTCATAGGTAGTCGTAGGAGGCCATCCATTTTGGTTATGTGGCTTTAGTTCTGCCACAGATTTGACTTGGTGTTCACAAATAATTGATATATATATATATTTTTATCTTGTGCGTGTAATAAAAGGGTGTGACCCAGTAGATATTTTGGTGTATATTTGTACTACTAAAATTCATCTTTTCTCACTTTTGTTTTTATGCCACCATAGCATTTTATGCCTCTCAACTTCGCCAGTCACTTGGCGCAAAAACATGTTCCGTAATTCTCTTATTATTAATGGGGGAGGGGGCTGGGGAAGTGACTCCCCTTGGCCCACCCACACGATGCCCATCAACCAAACACGAGTGAGATAGGCAGAAATGAACAATCCCCCAATATAACCACCTGAGGTTCTAAGTGTCCCACAGCAGGCTACTGTCTGTGGCATACATTTTCTGTTTGCTGAAAGGCACCCCTTAAAATATCCCATTTCTTGTGTTCTGTAGCAACTGTTACGTAAAAACACCTCACTTATAGACCCCAAATTTTCCACATTTAAAAAGCAATTATGCAGGGAAATCCTGTTGAAAAAATCCTGAAAAGAGGAAAAATCCTGATAAATCGTACCCCTGCAAACACTACACAGCTTTGATCAGACCAACACCAGCATGGCTTGAATTGGAGGAACCCAATTGGAGTACACATTCAACAGACAAACAATCCTGTATGTTTCACTTTGGTAGAGCTGCTCCAACAGAACTGCTTTATTGGCTTCAAATGTGCTGACAAGTTCACATCAATCCAAAATGTTAAACTTCTCATGGACAAAATTCACACCGAATAAGGAATCTTCGGTTCAAGTCATAATTTCATTTGAACGATGAGGTGAAGGCAACCTAATAATCTCTCTGAGAACCCCAGTCTCCATGGTAACACCTTGCAGAAAAGAAATACTTCGTATGTCAAAAGAAAATAAAGGATTAACACCGGTGTACATGAACACACGAAAAACATCAAATGTAAAATAACAACGTCTTCGCACTCAAAAGGTTGAAGCAAACAAATGAAGAACAAATGATAACAGAAAAAAAAAATGGTTGAAATAGTTTTAAGGAAAAGGTGACAGTGACTTCTGACAAGCATCCCTGAACAAAGATGACAATTGAGAAGCTGCCAAAGTAGGGTTGGATAGCTCAGCTGGTTGGTGGTTCGAATCCTCCTCTAGTCAATTTCTTTCTTTATCTTTGTAATTGATATACTGTATTTATAAGTCGGTTTCCTTATATGATTTATTTGATGAAGATGTAAGAGCACGGACTTGCCACACACCGCTTTTAAGAAACCATAAGGACTTGTAAAAGAGGACCGGGAGAGTGGTTAGACAGGCGAGAATTGTTCTGCTGTTTGCAGCTGGATGAGCTTAGCAGGGTTTGGAGATAAAAAAAATGGCCCTTTGTGGGTCCTGACTCCTGGCTTAGTGTCCGACCGGGCCACCTGTACAGCTGGGATCTCCAAGCATCTCGACTTCTTAAACTGTCTGCATCTCGTCGATGACGAGAAGCGCCACATCGCTTTCAGCCTCGGTGCCGGATTCCTGCCGGGTCTCGCTGCTTGTCTGTGGTTGGCCGGCCGATTTCCCATCCTGGCCCCACACTGCGCAGCAAAGGGAAAAATGTGAACAAAAAACAGAACTTATTTGGCAGGCATTATCTTGACGTAAACAGTTTGTCTATGCGGTACCGAATCCTGACGTCATTTGGACCGGGAATTACTGCAAATGAATGAGTCCATGGGCATGTTGGTCCATGCGCTGGTTCTCACACCGAATGTCTTTTATGCACATAACTGTGAGCATGACATCTTCACTTTGGTACTCTTACAACCCAACCGACCAATATCAGTTTGCAGTCACTAGCGCCACTTTTTTTTGGTAAAGGTGTTTTATTAAGTTTAAATGTCAATAACCAATATGATTGAAATTATACAGCCAAGACTCATTTGTTGGGAAAGGATTACGTGTATGATTTTCACTGGCACCTGGGCGGATCCCGGAATATGTGCGCTTTCTTTTCAGAGAAGTTTTTTGATGGATAAACATTGAAAAATTAAATAAGCCGAGCAGCCATCTCTTGAGGCAACATTAAGGCCTCAAGGGACAGTGTAACCCCGTAGTTTCCCCAGCAATCGTCCACCATTATCATCACTGACTGTATGTTGTCAGCTCAACAATGGGGTTCATTTCCCATAAAATAATGGTGTATGCTTTATCCAATGGCGTATTGGTCCGACCACACACCGTGCAAGAACCATGTACATGTACGGTTGATATTGTGATCCTTTACTGGGAAGCTGGCTCTGAAGCTTTCTTGTACTTTTAGCCATTTCTAAAGCTTTGAAGACTTGTGTACCAGGTCAATACTGTACACGGTGCTATGGTCTTTGCCTACTGCAGTGAGGGGATGTACGTTAGGTCATGCAGTCCAGTGAAAAAGCCCCATAGCCGGGAGAACTCACCTAAGACTTGGGAGCCGTCTTTCTGTAAATCTTTAAGGGCGACCGTGCTCTTGACGCCCCCGTCGACCAGGACCTCGATGGCCTGCTCCCCATTGACACACTGCAGGGCTGCCGACACTCGGTTGCCGTCTTCGTCTACCAGCTGAACCTGCGGGGAGGGAGGGGGAGACAGATACATAAGCCGTGTCAGAAAGTCGTGGCTGTGGCTTCAAACAACATGTGCGACTATGGCCAGCCACTGGCTCGTGGCTCCCACCACTTCCCATAAACCTGTGTGTTGATTTGGATGCAGGCTCAGTAGAAGACGTTTCGTGGCTACGCAGTGATTCTCAACAAAACGACACCTCCACACAGTGTTTCCTATTTTGTAACTGATTCCCTCCCTTTCCTTTCACTGTCTAAAATAAACGGGAGTTACGGGGAACCAGCTGTTATTTGCGGTCACTGTGAAGAGAGACCCTGCCTTGCCTTGTCTTCTTTCTCGACAGCCACCACAGGCACCAAAATGTCACCAAAATCTTGGCTTCATCTCCATCTATGGATTGTCGTGCCAAGTTCCAGCATTAACCACTTCCTGCCGGGGATTCCGGATCCGGACACGTACACTTTATATGCGTGGCCGGGGTCTCCGAACTCGGACGAGGGGAACAGGGCCTTGTGACAAAAGACCGTACTCAGAACAAAATTCCAGGCTGCTGGGAATCACTGACATTTTTTCACTCTCAAAAGTGGAGATAATCCAGCCTGGTTTTGAAACAGTATACCACGGTTTGGGGCATTTAGAGCGAGCGGATGACCACCGGGGACAAAAGCGCTCCACCACCGCAGCGATGAGCTACACAGCACTGCTGCACGCTAATCTGGCCCCTATTGAAAAGAGGTCAGCAGCGCACTGAGCCAGGTTCGTGAACAAAAGAAAGTTATTCAACACCGTACAATCTGTGAACAACCTTAAAAGTTATTTAAACTTTTTAAAAGCTTTCTTGGGGGGGGGGGCTTTATAATAAAAGCCAGATGCTACGATAGATTTCACCTATTACACCTTTGGGTGCAACTTAATTGCTACGTTTCAATATATTTGTCACATTTGCTTTCGTCGTCTCTGCGTTTCCGAGTTAGGGTTTCTTTTGACAGGACCAGGGTATCCGAGTTGCTTCTTAAATAAGCTAGGTGGTTCCTACACTGCTTGTAAATACGCAACACTAGTCCCGATATAAATGACATCCTTACCTGTTCAACACTTCTCTGCGAGCCACTATCTGCCTCCTGACAGGAGGAATCTTGGTCCTGTCCGCCGGAGGGCGACACACCATTTCCCTTGACCTGAGACAGTAGAAAAAACAGACAGAAATAACTCTCCTTCTGAGAGGAAAAACTCAGTCGACTGACTGCAACTTTTGATCTGCCTATCAACTTCAATTCCTGGGAATTCTAGCCAGGGGCACCATATTCTTGTGTACTTCAAGATCCTTCCAAACCTCCCAGAGGATTTTGGAGGAGTTTTCAGGGATCCGTTGGATTAAATTGGATCATCCCAAACGTACTCGCGATGAATGTCTTTACAGGCACGCCAAGTTTCAAAAAGATCGAGCATGGGACAGCCAAGATCTGCGGGAGAGGATAGAATCTGCTTACACTAGGCTGCGGTACGGTCCGGAAAAGCCAAGCTTTTTTAGGCTTGAAAGTCGTAGTCTGGCTAGGTAGGGGTGTTAACTCCTTCAGTCACTCCCCCCTCATTACCTGGTCTTGGTTGGAGGCAACCTCCACCTGTAGGCTGTAGGAGTGGAAGGCTTCAATGGCATTAGAGATCTCGTTCAGGGCGTGGTTCCTCATCGCCACGTCGTCCCCTTGGTCCTGGCTGGGCTCCGGCAGGGTGTACAGAATCTGAAAGAGTAACAAGGCAACAAACTATACAGGGCGCTATCAAAAACAAGGCAACCAAATTTTCTTTTGACTTGTGTGGAGATTGCAGGGGCCCAATGGGGAAACTGTGGAATGATTGTTCAGCCATCCATGACCATGAGTGAATAAATAAAATACCATTGGCAAGAGGACATCTGTGGCTTTAAGACGCCACTGGGTATTTGGGTGTTAAACCCAAGAAATTCAACGGAAATTTTGTTGCATTTTTTTTTACACACCCTGTGTATTACAAATAATATTACGCTAACCTTACATAGCTAGTGTGGACTTGTGAACAAAAGATTCCCACACAATGCGGGAAAGGAAGACGTTCTGTGGCCTTACACATGTCCACAGGACGTTTCCCCTTCTCTGAAAAAGAAATTTAGAGACATTTTGAGGTTGGGGGGTCATCTGTCATAAAAGGAAGACGAACAGTCAAGGAAACCTTGTACAAAAAGCCAGCTGAAAATCGTGTTCCCAGTTCAAGAAAAACAAGTATTTTCACTGAGTTTTCTTAACTGCACGAAAAGAAAGGAATGTCCACACTAGGTACGTAAGGGAAGTGTGGATGAGTACCCGAGTGAATGCCTCACACGCACAACTATGAGTGTAAAAGGCATTAGCTCAAGAACCAGTGTGTGAACCAATATGACATGCTCGGCTGCCGATTTACAGGGCCTCTGCGCAAGCATGTACACGTACTGTGCATGTACACGGTCGTCTGTTCCCACAACAGATACCGACCACGTTGCGTGTTGACTGTTTTTTCTCCGCACACCAGTTTCCTCAACTCTCAAGTCATTTTCATCAGTCCAAAAATACATTTCTTTTATTCAAAGCAAATTTAAGTTCAATTTGGGAGCCAATGGAAAGGTTCGGCATAGCTAATTGTTCCGCATATCGGTGTTCAGGATGGCGTCTTTATACTGTACTGTTTTGTTGGATACGTGTGAATTTTCTAGATTTTCTCATCGTCTATTTCGATGAGCTCCTCCCCTGACCTTGCCAGTCTGCACAGCAGTGCTGGAGAACACTCTCTTTTGGAACAGCTGGCCCGTCTCGTGGGCCTTGAGGTGGGCCCGCAGCCGCTGCTTCCAGGCCGTGGAGAAGCTGCAGTGCGGGCAGTTGAGACGGACCGATGAGTGCTTGGCCATGTGGCCCACCAGGTGCTGCTTGTTGGCCGTGGCGTAGTCGCAGACTTCGCACTTGAACGGCTTGATGCCTGCTCAAATGAGATTGAGCGGAAAAAAAGGAGAAAAAACAAGTTGGTGAATTATCTTACAACTTCACAATTTAAAGTGATCGCTCATCTGTTTGAATTCCTCAAGCGTATCGAATTTGGAAATGAATAAAACATCCGTTGGAAAAGTGTGATCAATGAGATCCGAGCTGGACCAAGAGAGGGCGCAATTTTCCCAGCAACGGAGGCTTCTTTGGTCGGTACTGCACTTTGCTGATTCACAAACAGTTATGAAATGCACGCGTTACCGTCGCGTCACTACCAGCAAAATGAACACTACTGACCAACCTGGCTCTGACTTAACCAGTTTACAGGAAGTGATGAGCATAGCAACTACAGTTGCTTGGAAAGATTGTAACACGGACTATACATGTTGACACAAAATGAACGATAAGTTAGAGTGAACGATTCCATATCCAAAAGGATAAGACCAGACCCCGTGGCTGAGTCACTTGCGTTCTTACCGGTGTGCTTCGCGATGTGGACGTGCATCTGGGTCATGTTGATGGCCGAATAGTTGCAGTGGCCGCACTTGAAGGGCTTGACGTCCGAGTGCTTGGCCATGTGGCGCTTGAGGCTGTTTTTATAGCCCGTGCAGTAGCCGCACTCCTCGCAGACGTAGTCCTTGGCCGGCATCTGTCGGTCGGCGCGGTGCCGGTTCATGTGGCGCTGTAGGCTGTAGCGGTGGGCCGTCTTGTAGTCGCAGGACAGGCAGCTGTAGGTCTTGGTGGGCGGGTCCATCACGCCGTGCTTCTGTTCGTGGTTGATCATCTGGAGGCATTGAGGGGGCATGATCAAGAATGGTTTCTGAAATTTACTTTTTGTGTGGTGGGTCCACAACTACGGGGAGGAATTTACGTTTTTATTTTTTGAAATTGTTTACAAAAACTTTCCAATACCATTTAAACCTTTAGCCAACACTTTACCTTGGTGTTTTCATATATGCCAAATTATACAGTTCAGCAATACACGTGGTCCAACCTATGTAAAAATGTAGAATGATGTTGGGGCATTTAAAACAAGCAATGTTTATTGTTTTAGAATCCATTTTTTTTTCTCAAAAAGCACATGGAAGCCGAAAGGGAAAAAACATTATGTAACAGGCATCGTTTGCAACAAAAAGAAATACCAGATTGTGTCAATCAAAACGTCAAACCGCTAAAGGGAGTGGCTCCGTTTAACGTTTGGGAAAATCTGTAAACGAATTTGGAACTTTTCTTCATTTAAACGTTTAAACATGTAAACATCCTACAACGGCAGAAAAAAGTTTAGCGAGCGTCTCAAAAATGGGAGCCTTTCTGTTATCACTGGAACATGTGGAATGGTCCCTCAGGGAACGTGTGTTCCTATTGGGTATTCAGGAATTTTGTTGATTAATAGTAACACACTGTTACAGTATTTAAAAGCGTGAACGTGCGTACACAGACTACTGGAGAACAAAAGGTGGGTGTTCCCTGAATGGAAGAGGCAGTGTTCTTGTCGGAATGTTCTTCAGCGTTCCGACATTCAGCTACTCCTAATTACATTGACTGCTGACTACAAGACTATTTGTAGTAATAGGTGTATCACGCTTTGCTGCCATGATATGAGTATACTCATGGTAAATGAATGGGTTTTTAACTGCTCCAAGAATGCACGGGCAACGCGGTGAGCCTTACAAATGAACACCGTGCAGAGTGAAGAGTAATCTTTTTTGAGCACAGTGTTATGAATGTACATCGGTGTATGGGTAAAACCCATATGTAAAACCCCCAAATATATCTTTGTAACATCTGTGTTAAGAACTCACCTCGATGGAATGAAAAAATAACAAAAAAATATATAAGCATGCATACTTTGTGACACAATGGGGGGGGACCCGGGAGTGAGTCGTCAGCAGTCAACAAGCTAACGGCGTGCAAAAATTGAATAACATGTACAATTACAAATTACAAGCAAAGAGTACAGCTTTAAAAAATGACATTTTCTCTCAACAAAATTGAGTGTTTTTGTTTAGAAACTTCAAGATCTCCACTGATACGGGAGGCCAATGGTATATTCTTTGAACTTTATGAGCCCGATGTCAAGGACCAGTACCGGGGGCTCTACCTTTCTCACTCCCCCCAAAAACTTCTTGGTGGGTTTACTGAAGGTTTTTGGGGAGAGTTACTTCAGTTTATACCTGTTGTTTGTGAGCAGCTGTGTAGTCGCAAAAGGCACACTTTAAAGGTTTGACGGTGGAGTGTCGCAGCTCGTGGGATTTCAAGTTCTGCTTTGTGGTGGTGGCAAAGTCGCAGCCTTCCTGTTCGCACTTGAAGAGCTTGTTGCCCATGTGGCGGTCCATGTGGGCCTTGAAGCTGACCCGGTAGGGGGTGGCGTAGGAGCAGCGGTCGCACTTGAACCGCTTCTCGGCGGCGTGGCGCCCCATGTGCGTCTGCAGGTCCTGCTTGCGGGCTGAGCTGTAGTCGCACTGGTCGCACTTGAAGGGCCGCAGCCGCTCGTGCTTGGAGCGGACGTGGTGGATCAGGCTGTGCTTGTAGATGCTCTGGAAGTCGCACTGGTCGCAGCGGAAGGGCTTCTCTGGGTCGTGCTTCTTGCGATGGGTCATTAGGTCGTGCTTGTAGGGCGAGACGTAGTCGCACTGGTCGCAGCGGAAGAGTTCCTCCTCGGCCAGCTCCCCGAGCTTGGCGTGCCGCTTCAGGTGAGTCTTCAGGTTGTACTTGTGACGGGTGGTGTAATCACAGTCTGTACACTTGAACAGCTCCTTGGCGCTGATCTTGGTGTGGGTGAGCAGGTGTTCCCGATAGGCATGGTAGCGCTCCGTCTTGAAGGAGCAGCTACTGCAGGCATACTGGATCTTCAAGGCCTGGTCCTCGCCAGGCTCATGCCCAGAACTCGCATCATCGTCCTTCCCGAGACCGTTCTCATGCTGCTCCGATTGGGCGTGCAGCTTGAGCTCGCTGAGTTTGCTCGTGCAGAAGCTGCACTTGTTGCAGGAGTATAGGACAGTGTACACCTTCTCCTTGTCGGCCGGGGAAGCCGGCTCCTTGCTTGGCTCCTTACAACTGACCTCCAGGTTCAGGATCCTCCTGTCTGGCACACCCACCTCAGACGTCGGCTGGATCTCGGACACGCCGTGTGAATTGGAGGGGTCCCCTTGCAGTCGGATCTCAATGTGGGAGGAGTCGGGCTGGGCAGGATCTCCCTCCGGCATGAGGGCATCTTCGTCTGGGCCAGCCAGATGTAAGCCTGTCTTGGTTGTGGCGGACAAACCTTGAGCCACGCCTGAGGAGCTTTCACTGGAAGCAGTGGCCACCAAATTGGTCCGAGGGTCCCCTGGAGGGGAATGTGGCTCTGTGGTACCTCCTGCATTCTCTACAACATCTGTTCCAGGTCTGTCAGAGGATTCGGAACCTGTTTCTCCATCTCTTCCTGCAAATTCTGCCTCTGTTTGCATTTTATCTCCATCTGTCATGAAGATATCTTCCAGTGGCGCTGTGTCATCTCCTTCAGCCGACATTGCGCTGTCTTTTAGCGGGATTTCCCTTTACATGAAATTAAAAACAAATAAAAAACGTCAAGAATTTGTAAAAGAGAGAGCACCGTATTTACAATCTTGTAAAACTAGATTTCACTAAAAATTGAGGAAAACAAAAGTTCAAAACATCACTTTTCATTAATCCATGTATGAAAATACACACCAAGAATCCAATCTGTTTAAAGATACAATCACCAACTCGCTGGAAATATGGAACTGATCTCCTTCCACTCATTTTGAATGAGGAAAGAGTTCCATACACCATGGTCTATTCCTTCCTCCATGAATACACGGACATCACTTGACTATGCACTTGACACCCTGTGCACTTGCTTCAGCATGTTTGGGTAAAGGACTGGACTGAAAATTTGTGTTTTCTAGCTAAATGCTTCAATATTTTCTCGCTCAATTTGACTATTTAGGCCATTTCATCACTTTCTTGACTTTCCGACGGCTAGTACTAGTAGTAGGCCTCGCACTCAACCACTGCAAGGGAAAATCGGTGATATTTGTATGGTAGGCTGTCATGGCTATATACTATCTGTATCATGACGACATGTATGGAATTCCCGGGAGAAACAGCATGCATCATTGCATAGATATGACCGTGATGACTTAGTGATGGTTTTTTACAAGCATGTTCAGTTTCCTGCTAACATGGCTGATGAGTGCAATCAATCATCAGGCTATAAGCCTTATCGCAAATACTGCATGGGTGATTTTACACAATGGTAGAAAGGCATTGTGGGAAGGAAAAAGGAGCAAACACTGCCCCTTTTTCCTTCCCAAAATGTCTTTCTACTATTGTGCAAAATCACCAATGGCAGTATTTGCGATAAATTAAGGGATTAAGGCTTATGTAAATTTGCAACCCTGGTAAAATCCTGACGACGTCCACACATACCACATAATGCATGCGAAGAGCCGGCCCTAGCCCACCATGTATGTTGGCCTACATCATAATGCCATGCATGATCCTTATTCCTATGCCGCTAAGTTATGCCGTGCCGACCGTCACTTCGGCGCGACACACACAACTTCACAAGACACAGGCATGGTACGTCATCATGTACGTCCGCATGGTGTGTGACCTGGGACGTACTGGCACGCCCAATCCCAGTTAAAACTAGTAATAGACCGATTGTAACACATTATTTTTAGCCCTGCAACAATCAAAAGATTCGTGCTATCAACATCCACGCAGTAACTTCAAAACGTTTTGCGCACACATGCACACATTCATGACACTGACAGTTCCGCTCGTTTTAATGTCGCCATTTTGATTTTCTGTTCAACTGACATGAATAACGAACAAACAAACTTCCACCAGTAAGGAGCAATTATCAACCCAACATCAGCAATATCCTCGGTATTAACAAGCTCTAAGAACTTATATATGATTCCAACGATGAAACAGTATGAGATAACCTACCTGATTGATGATATCGGCGGGAAATCATACAGTTTTGTCCCTGGCTGGCAGAATTGAAGGCGCCCAGTGACCAAACAGGCCCGGATGTTCCCCACCAACAAACACATCGGTATGTAGGTCGTATGGAAGGCAAATTGTACAAAGTTTCCAACAGAGGAGCCATACAAATCTTTTATCGCAGACCGGAAGCGGGTTTTTCGTCAGCGCTTTTATTACCCAACAGGCACTTCGATTTTGCAGATTTGGAGAAAGGATGTTACTTTTCTTTTTATACATAATCACAAGAAGAATTTCTTTATAAAACTGCAGAAACTTTTTCCTGATTCTTTGGTCGGTAGCTTATTGGAAGTAAACTCTTTTTGATATGCCGGCAATTCAGTTCGGGAGTTGATTATTTCAAATTAAAAAAGTTGTTGTACCCTCCTGAAGCGATTGTGCCTAGTACCTGCCGGCTGACCTACATTTCAACTTCGCATTGAATGTTTTGTAAGCCACGTTTACCTTTGTGCGATCCGTCGAGAATGTCGAACGATGCACCAAAGGTGCCCGACTACACTTACCGTAAATTCCGCAGCCTGGCGAGCACGTAGGCCCATCCATTTGTGAGTTGATCTATGCCGCCCCGGCCAAATTGCTGTTAGGATTTTTCTACATACGTAGTGGTGTATCCAGCGGAGGGGGGCAGTGGGGAAACTCCCCCCTTGGGTAACGGTTATCAAATATTGATACAAAATGTTTTATTTATCAAATATTAGCGCCAAAACCTTACGAAAACAACACTGCAGAATATAAAAGCAAGGATTTCAGGACCGTGAGTAAAGACCGATTCATACTTCACGAGAAAGTGGAAACGAACGCGTATTTGTGAGGGCAGATCAAATTACTCGCACTCGGAATTCGGTGAGCAAAAGTTGAACTGACACATTTCAACTCGAGCGAAATTTGCTGCGCAGTTGTCGCACGTCAGTTCGTTCGCTTTCGCCTGAAGTATGAGTATAAATTCTAAAACAATCCGCCTTAATATTTTTCTCACCACGAAAAAGTGGGGAGGGGATGATTCCCCATCCCCACCAAATTACTAACACGTTGCAGACACGGTGGTGCTAAATGTAAAAAAAAAATGATTAAAATGGGGAGGGGTGGTGCATTGTGTACGGGGGAGCGGGTTAGCGTAGCGGTTCTTTCCTCGCTTTGCACCAATGAGGCCCGGGTTCGAGTCCCGGCTTGGCCCAGGCTTTAAGTGCATTTCCAGTCCATACTCG